ATTCTAGAGGTCATATTAAAAAGCTTTAGGATTGTAGGATCCTGCAGTTCCTTTTTCATACGTGAGATAGTTTCGGGTATACATTCTAGTGAACTTAATTTCGTTTTTAATTCATCTATCTGTAGCTGCATCTCTTTAATTACGCACGTTAAGTAAGAGAGCTCTACTTTTTCAGACAGAACATCTTCCACCTGTATTACAGGGGTCAGAGTTATGTTCGAGGCTTTTATGTTGGGTGAACTACTAATAATATGGGGTGGTAATGTGTTATTAGACGAGCCGGTGCTATTTTCTAAATTACTGGTGTTCACACGAACACGCTTTTTAGAATTTTGAACCATCGTTATTAAAGATCAATTATTAGTAACCAATAAATGAATATAAGCGAAAACACGTGCAAAAGCGTCACCTGATTTGAACGTACCGGGCGTTAGATAAGCTAAGTGATAAGCTAAGTGTGAAATCCAGGTCTGACTCCGAATTGTGTGACGATAACGATGCGGTCAAGAAGTCTGTAGTTGCAACTGGTAAGCCATTGTTGAATAGAGTGTCACAGAATAGAGTTATTGCTTCAGAGTGCAGTTCTGACTCCACAAGTTTACAAAGTATTACTAGTCAGAGTGAAGACATAAACCTTTAAGGATTTGTGAGGAAGAAACCAAATCATCTACTTCTGTAATTAAAGAGCTTGAAAATGATGAAGTTGACCAGATAGATGATGGTAAATTGAATATTTGTGATAATGATCATGATAGTGCAGATTTGTCTTTGGTTGATCATGATGAGATGATAGATATGCCTACTACTCCTGAGTTGAACTAAAGTGCTGTACAACTTGAACATGAAGTGGAATAAATGCAGATGCAGTTGCAGAAGGCATGCATACTTGTGAGACCGTCAGTGTGAGTGATCAGCATGTAGCCCACCTATCATCAGATGCTAGTGTTAAACCTGAGCTGATAGTAAAAGACACCAGTGGTGGTGGTCTTGCATGTAGACAAATTTCTGAAAGTCGAGCAACAACAGCTTCTGATCCACCGCTAACTTCATCAACTGGTATCAATCGGTCATCGTTGGTGTTGTCATCCACAATGAAACAGTCGCCCATCAACTCAAGTATCTTGTGCAATGACTATGATAGTATTGGTGCATTTGAAAGGACGAAAGATATTGCTCAGTTTAGTGAGGATAAGCCAAGTGTAAACGAAAGAGTAATTGTTAAATTGACTTGCATGAATAAAGGCATTTCTTGTTTCAAGTTACTATTTGAATGTTATTATCTTTGGTGTAAATTACTCTGTTTCTACACTTGGTTGACCAGATACGTCGTGTGTTTGTTCGTCATCTATATTCTACGATACAATGACATGAGCGTGTTACCGTTCAGATTTGAGGATATAGCTGATAGAAGGAAGTCAGCAAATGAACTCTGCGACGATTTTCCAAACTAGAGCGTCAACCTGAGAAGGTTGTAGGCGTACTGCTGTGAGTCCTACAGTTCTTCAAAGAGTAGAGCATCAATGAGCAGTCCAATGTGCTTGGTGTGTGATTTTGTACATATGTTCATATTGTATATACTGAATTGATATCATCTGTCATCTAGCTGTTAGTAATTCTGTTGTGTCCGGACGACTTCCACTTGGATCATCAACCTGAGAAGGAATGTGGGAGTAATGCTGTAAGTCCTACGGTTCTTCAAGGGTAGTCCGTCAAGGCAGAATCCACAACATTTGATGTATTGATTGTACATATGTTCGTGTTTATATTATTGTGTGGGTTCCAATTAATGTAATGATTACTTCTGAAGTTGTTTCGAGTCTTCTACGTTCGTGAATGAATTGATGTTAGAGACAGCAGATGGGTCGTATACGCCGGGGAGTCTATTGCTGAGAATGACATGCACACGGAGATAATTGTTAGCTGCGGTCCGACACGCCGGGCAGAAAGAGTGTAAACGACTGAGGCTCGCATTCGTCACCGTTACTAGAATTGAGGCAGAATGAGTGACAAGCGATTTCAGTGGTAATTGGTAGTGAGTAGATAAGACGATGTGGTAGAGTATCGTGAGGTGGTGCCATGGTCACGTTGCATTCTGCAAGAGTCATTCTAGCAAGTGGCGATTGTGTTGCAAGAGGATGCCTTTAACTGGAAGGCGCAGGTCAGTGTGATTTGCTGTGAGTATGCCTGTGGTGTGTTGGCTTTTCTGTTTGTTTTCCATTTCAGCTCTGTCCGTGTGACCCAGGTTCTCGCAATGGCATCCAAGTCAACGTGTATTGGTCGTGATGGCAAAAAGGATGATCCGTATTTTGCCGGGGAGTGTCAATGTAGTTGAAGATTGAACGATCAATTCATGGTTGTTTGCTCAAAACCAACTTCCTCAATTTTCGCGGAGGCATCAATACGACAGTTACCGTCTCATCGGTCGCTGTTCAGAAAGAAGTCAGGCCAAATACCGTCAGAAGTAATATTGTGATTCATTATTGTAATATTTGTTCACAGACCTCAGTTGTAACATTGTTTATATGTTGGTGTAACAATAAAGAATCCTCGAGTCAACAATTGGTGTTTTGGTTTTTCGTCCGTTATTACTAAGCGTTTCTGAGAAACTTCAAGCGACAGCGTGAGCCCGAGCGTAGCAAGAGCTGGGCATTAACGGTTTACGATACGTGGCTGACACTCCAAAACACCAATATGGTAAGAAGGAAGATATATCGTTTGACAATTAACGCGGAAATCAGTAAAAGTCTAGAAAAAAATATTTTATTCAAAATTGTCAAGTACCTTTACTGGTTTTTGGTCGTCCTCATCGAACTGTGTGCGTCGGTGGCACACTGATTAGGACTCTCGCCGACCATGCACATGGTCCGGCGTTCGATCCCATGCCGACGCACACCTGATATCTATGGTCGGCCTGGGAAATTTGGGCTACCGATATCCATGCTGAAAATTCCATACTTGTACCAAAAATGTGGTGTGGAATCAAGCTGTATTCAAAGATAAATAAATAAAAATAAAAAATAGAACTTATACACGATCGAACCTTTCTCGCCTTTGAGTTGCCCACTAATGGCTACTATTTCCAAAAACAAACTTTCAGTATTCACCTCCATTGACAATGCTTTTGAGAATAGGAGCTCTTCTTCTAAACAGTCATCGCTGCAAATTCTTCTGGTATGGAGGGCTGGCCAGATGATGGGATGTCTTTTCCGGATGACAGGTATCCAACTGTAGAAGTCTGTCAGTTGGCCATTCCTTGTTTGTTTTTTATGAATAGATCTTTTCAGTGCTCCTTTATCTCTTCTTGTCAGTTCGACGTCCAGGAATGGAATCTTTGATTCATTTTCAACTTCCATTGTGAATTTAATTGAAGGATGACAGTTATTAAATTCCTGTGAGTTACTACTTAAATTGGAATCACCTTTAAATATTAATTTTCATACGTTGTAACTTTTCTAATTCTATGCGATCTCTTCTCTAAGCATTTTGTAATCTATATTCGTACCTTCAAGCTTTCATATCAAGTTGAAAATTTCTATGTAGAATTAAATAAATAATAATAATTGCATCCATGTAAACTAGTGTATATAAATGCAATTGCACAGCTTTTGAGAATTAAATCGCCGAAAAGATATCTTTGCTGAATTTCTTGTTATTCTCGCTCGACTATCAGATACACTTTTGAGCTACTCATGGTAAAATCTTCGGCATTTGATGGAAAGAGGCCCTGAATCAAACAGAATGTAAATCAGCTGAACACCAACAGTTATCAAGCAAGGAGATATAAGTCTTAGTGAAGAAAGTATTCAACCAGCATTTTGGCTGAAAACTTCGGTGAGAGGTTTAAAATGGAATAATATCTACTGACGGTGTGTTTCGCAGGCAGGATGTATGAGAAGTGGTGTGTCTGCATATTGTTAGTTGCACTCCGTTGTCCATCACACACGTAAATTACATAGATGGTTGCTTTGAAATTGTTCTTGTCACTGTCTTTGAACAAACACATAGCACTCAGCTACTCAAAATATAGGTTAATGCAGGCAGTGTAAATTTCAAGTGATAACTATGGTAAACGAGTGCCCTGAATGTTGTTGTATATGAGGACACCGTGATATCAGGAGAATGCCATCGAGATTCTGGATGATGGTTTTGGCTGATACGCCCGTCATGTAAACTTAGTTTCAAACACCGAAGCTCGTCCCGGTGAGAACACAGTCACATAATGGGGATTCAGACTTATTTAGCCGACAAGTTTCAGGTGGGGTGAAACGTTCATCCCGGATTTCACCGCTAGCTTCCACCAGAAAATTATTCCACATACTGAATGATCACAGAAAACTAGAATTCATCAGATACTGCTTTCAGTTAGCTGTGTGTATTGACCCGTCGGTTCCTGATACTATTTTCCGATCATTTTAAGATTACGAAGTTTCACACAAATCTGATTGCATTCACCACAACTGCAAATTATGAGCAGTGCATATGTCCTCAAAGCGGGACACTATAATTTTAAAGCCATTTGCACAAGCAGTTACAGGAAAGTGTGATAATAAATGACGTGAATTAAAATAAAACTAAGGGCTTCAAAAATGGAGAAATGACGCCTAGATTAAAAGCATCTCAGTGAGATGAAAATCGAACTACAGAGGATTATCTGCTGTAATATCATAATATCATCGTGCACCTATTTTAACACTTAGGGATGTTCTCTGAAGACTTTGACATTTGTTAGGTAAACATATTACATTATTTCAATAGGGAAATGGTTAGGCTAGAGACACGTGTTCAGCAGCTCGTTGAAGGCATGTGGCTATCACTCCTGCATTTATATAGTCAAAATGTTTGATTATCATGGAATTTCGCTAATAACCTTCCAATTTATCACGGTGGCTAGCACTGATTTTAATATGATAGCATTCCTTTTATTTTCTAGCATTTGCACCAAAGTATTTTGAGTTGTTTGGATCCACTGAGATGACCGAAGTTTGTCCTTGTTGTAGTGACCTTGGAATAACTTGTATGTGATTGTCTGTGTATTTTGATTGTGTCACGCCGATGCTTCCTTTGCACTGTTCTTAGGCTGTGATACATATTTTGGTGTGTCTTCTTATTAAAACATCATAATATTTATCCTCATGTAAGTTAGATGCATCCTGCGGATGAGAAGGAAAGTCATAAACTCGAGGTTTTAGATACATTTTTAATGCTATTCTGCAACCTCACCTTAGAAACATCTGTTAACCATTTATTTTAACTACCGAAATGCCTAGAAGTCATGCTTGTCACTGTTATTGTAGCCTTGCTTACACCTGATGTGGTTCCAACTTTTCATTACACTTAAAAGTGTACCGTATTATTATTATTACTATTACCGATATATTATTCTTCAAACTTCATGAGCTGACTGTTGTTACGTTTCCTATTTTCGTTTCTGTCTCTTAGTCTGAATAGCTTCACTAATTATATCTATTATTATTATTACTTATTATTATTATTACTATCTCTTTTCTCTTGTCGACAATACCGAAGGACTAACTGGCGAAAGGATCAACTCCAATCACAGTAGTAACAGTCTTAACATACCTCATACTACAAACCACATATAATTAATCCCAGCACTACTCCCTTTGGAGTCAACCAAAGCTACGACAGTCGAGTGGCGGGACAAGCTACGCAGAAGTTTACCGAAGATCAAGAACCTATACCTCACAATCAAGAGGCGAGCGCAAAGAAATCAAATTGGTTTATACTAGCTCGTAAAAACGATATTGGATATTGGATAAGTGCACTGCATCCCCGCCCACCTACTAAACTTTATTTATTATTATTATAGCTTAAATCCACACAGTATTTTTGATACAAGTATAAAGCCATCAGTATGTGGTATTAGTAGCCCGAATTCGGGAGGCCGACCATGAATATCAGGTGTGCACCGGCCGGGGATCGCACCCCAGGCAATGTGCATGGTCGGTGAACGTCCTAACCGCTGTGCCATCGACTCACTGGCTTGTATCCATCGCATACCTTAATCTGTCGATGTGTTTTCAACTAAACTCGTCCTTGATTTCCACTTTTCTGCCTGCTTTGTTTATGCGTTCATTTACTTGTTTTTTAATTGTAATCGTTCTTCAAAAATCTGAATGTTTGTCACTAGTTGTATTATAATTCAGCTCAGTTCATCGCATGCTCAATAGGTGTCATTGAACAATGTTTGTCACTTCATAACAGTAGAAAAAATAGTTTGTTGGTGTATGAAGTCATGTTAGGTTGTAATCTCACGTTATCGCAGAGCTTTTTATGCTAAACAGAATTCATATAATTTCCCTACATCATCAGGCTTTTTGGTTGCAGTTAGTAAACTAAAGCTGTTTGTAGGAAGTGTGAGAAGCTTTGGCTCACTGGTGAGTTACCAACCTTTTGGTCACCGGTTCAGGATCCGCTCTACTTACTACGGTCTGGACAGCTAGATAGTATCATTAGCCCTCACATAATAAGTATGGTCCACTTCCAAGCGCACGGAAATGCGGTCAGTCGTTGAGTAACATGCACGCAAATTTAATAGGAGGTAAAGAAAACTATTAATATGTCTTGTTCAGAGGTGAATTCTCCGTGATGGTAGACAGTTCTGTCCATTGAATCATAACTGGGAATGTAGGACTGATGTAGCCTACACAGCAGTAAACAAATAATCCCCACAAAATAATATGCTATCTTCTGGTGTGCTTGGATTTCTAAAGTGTTGGAATTTGTTAAGTTTTTACTGTTACTAAGCACGTAATGTCTGATGCTTTTTAGAAGACATCTACACCAAGTTATATGCAGAACACTCAAATAAAAATGCAAATAAAGATTGGCGACGTGGTTTTCTTGGGTAGATATGATGAGAAACTTAAATCCTCACTCAATATTCATTATCTTATAATTTGTGAACAGATATCGTAATGTAGTCTATCAGGTGGACCTCACTTCATATTATTATCATAGAACATAAAATATTCCGGTGTTTTCTTTAAATCTGTCTAGCGACACTCTTTTCTTCTCTTATTGATGGTCTTCTGTCTGTTCGAACATAGAAAAATCGTTGTTAAGAGATGAAACTACACCTGATCACAAATAAGTACCATTTTCGCAGCTTATATTGAACTAATCCTTGTTTTATCTGAATAGTGCAAAATTTCTTAAATTTTTTTCATTCCATTCATCCGCTTTTTGATAATATCAGCTTTTATTATAGTTATTGCATATCCTCAAGTTTACTAGTCTACAGTTTTGCATTTTTAATTTCAGATTTCCCTCGTCATTTAAACCTTCGTGTACAAACACCCAAAAAAAACAAACAAAAGAAATAATAAATTACAATGTTGATTAAGGATATGTATAATTGTACTATAGATCTCGGGAGTTATTTTCAGTATTTATGTATCACATTGTCAACACTGTTAGTTTTATCATCTATATTTCCTGTAAATGCTGTACAAGAGTTTACTGTTTATCGTGCTCAACAGTATGATTTCCAAGGTGTTAGTATAGGTAAGTTCTATTATTCTCAGATCTATTGATTTACTCTGTTTCTCTCTCTCTCTTCTAGGCAGCCGACTTTCATCATTAAATTGTGAAGCTCAAACACACAGCAGTCGATTGATTGGTCGAAATTGTCTTCTTCTAAGACTAGCCGATGTATCTTTAAATATTATCAAGGATGCTGTGTTTCATAAAGTTTCTGGCCTAGTAATCATTCTGCCATCACATTCATGGTCACAAGCATTGATAAATGTAATATTTTATTATTTTTAAAAAAAATAACATTTTTGTTTTAGCATTTCGTCTATTTAGAAAAAGAAATACTGACTGATGAATTTCAAATCCCCATTTACTTCACACTAAACAATTCTGCACTCCAAGAAGTTTATGAACAAGTTAGCCAGCTGACAGCGTCTAGTACTCAAACTTCAGGGATATCTGGTAAGTGGCCGGATGATATCGCTTCATGCTTTTATCTATATTTATTATTTTTTTGTAGCAATAACTCGGGCCATATCTTCAACTGGTTATCGCCTATTGGCTGGATATCAAACACCGAAACCCATCACGGATAATTATATGATAAATATAGAGGTAAATAATATTTCACCCCCTCTACATAATTAATTACATCTTATAGGGTCGACTAGGAAAAGAGAGTGCTAAGTCAGCGATCATTATCTGTGCACATTATGATGCTATTTCTGCTGTACCGGTAAGTGAGTGTTTTGTTGACAAAAAATTCTGAGTAATCTTTTGTATGCACAGCTCCGGTTTTTCTATGTGAATGGCCAGAGCTTCAGCGATACAAAGAAGATGAAACTGTATTGCCATTGATAAGTTATTCTTGACTCTTTAGATTACTTTGAAGCAGGAGGCGTTTGTTGAAATGGAATGATTAGTGTTAACCAGGTATTCAATTATGCACCACCACTATTGCCTTTTCTCAACCATGCTGGATATTGTTCTTGAATCCTCTTGGGCAGGATGCGCGTCGAACAATTGATGTACCTGGCTCCACAGCAGCAGGTGAACTGATGTATGCGCTTAGAAGTGGTCATATGCGGGATCTTGTCCTTGAGGCTTCTGCAGATCAGTGGGCGACTGTAGAAAATAGTGTTCTTAGCGTTTCTGCAAAGAATGTTCTTCTCAGAGATGATGTGATCCTTCTCTTGAGAATATCGCTTGCTAAATCTTCCTTGAAATCCAAGTTCATGTAGAGTTTCTTTTTTTGCGCAAGTGAAGTTTCGTTTCTCCAAATTCTTGGTTTGATATTTTTTCGATGAATCTTATTGGGTATTCGTTTTGGATGAAGATTTCTCTTAGAATATCTAATTCTGTTTCCTGAACGTCGGGACTTCAGATTCGTCGGATGCGGGTGTCAAGTGTGATTTAATTAAATTCCGCTTTTGTTGAATGGGTACCCAGCTATAGAAGCCTGTTAGTTGACCATTCCACGTTGGTTTTCTGTAGATCGATCTTCTTAGGCTCCCATCAGTTGTTCTTGTTAGTTCCACACCAAGAAACGGAATTTTTGACTCGTTTTCTATTTTAAGAGTGAATTTTATTGCTGGATGGCAACTGTTAAATGTCTTCAGCAGTAGATTGGGGTCGTTGTTGTCACAAATAATGAAAATATCGTCCACGTATCTTTTATACAGTCGCAAATTTTCAATTCTTGGCTTTAGTGGACCTCTCTCGAGGCTTGCCACGAAGCAGTCTGATAGTAGTGGACCCAACGGAGATCCCATTGCATTACCATCTTTTTGTCTGTAGATGGTGTTGTTGAATGTGAACTGGACGTTCAGAGTACGTCTCAGTAGTAATTCCTTCAAATATGTTGTTGGTATTCCAATATTGAGGTGGTTGTCATCTATATGTCTGCATATAAAGCAGAGCGTTTCCGTGGTAAAAATATTGTTATTCTTGTTCTGTCAGTGCACTGCATTGCCTAAAGAAGATTAAGTTATTTGAAGCATAGTTTCATGGATGAAGTCACATTAGTAAGTGCTAGACTAGCTCACTACTTCTACTACTGCTAAAAACTCATTTATATATCAGCGTATCTTCAGTTGGAAATATCCCCTACTTTCGTAAAGTTTATCCACTTGAGGCTTTTTTAAATTTCATTCCTTTGCGTTCCGAGGGGAATACAGGGCTTCAAGCTCTGAGCTTTGAAATTTCAGTAGTACTGGTGTTATTTCATTTTATTGCATAGCGTTGCTAGCTTCATATCCAACCTTCCTACTTTACTAGGCTTACTAGTGGCTAGGTGAAGTTTAGGAGTGTGTTGACTGAGAATCAGACCAAGAACCACATGGGGCATAGTTGGTGAGCATTCTATCGCTAAATCTCCGACCATGTTGAGCGTAGTCGCTATGAACTATACTCAGTCGTGGTACATCTATTTGTACTGTGTCGATTATTAAACTAATGCAGTGTTATCCTACTACACTGCACAAACTCCAGTGTTATGTTGAAGTGATACTACGCCCTGTATTCGTCTTTTTCATCGTGATGATTCTGTTTGATAGTGTTCATGATACAACGGCAGCATATGTCGACGTACGAAACAAGTATTACCAGAGTTTATTTCTAGCGTGAATCTAGTGATTGAGAAAGAGACGTCTTTCTTTGCCTTCCTCATTTGTTACCTAGTCGACAGAGAACCTGTGTCATATATTGGGTTAGTTTTCTTCTCTAAATTTGGGTTAAATGATTTGTTTTTACTAGTTGATCACGGATTGATATCAGTTAGAGAACCTTTGAAAACCAGCGCTGGAGTACTAGACAGCTGTTCCATCCCACTAGTTTGGGAATCACCGGCAGTACGCACTCACCACAGGGGGTTCGAACCCAGGACCTTCCGGTTACAAGGCGAGCTAGCGAGCTCGTATACCATTTAGCCACTGGGACCCAACCCGACTCAGTGGCTATCCCATGGATTCTAACTTCTACCAATTCGTGATTTAGCATGACCACCAACCAATGTCATCGGTGGGACATCCATACTCACACTTGACTAGATGGACTTCACGATCACGACTTCTCTCTAAACTCCAGGAAACTCCGTCCTGTAGCAAGTCACTAGCGAGCATCAGATTAATTTTCTATAGTTGGTTTGTAAGGATTAGGTTTGTTTTTACGAGTTGATCACGGATTGATATCAGTTAAAGAACCTTTTGAAAACCAGCGCTGGAGTACAAGACAGCTGTTTTATCCCACGACTTTGGCAGTACGCACCCAATGAGGTTCGAACCCAGATTTTCAATGCTTCTCTAACTGATATCAATCACGATCGACTCGTAAAAACAAAGTATTCCTTACAAACCAACTATAGGAAACTAAATGATTTGATTAGTTCTGTTTGTTAAATTTTGTACTTGATTCGGATCGAATCTTATTTGTTTTAATGTTGAAAATATTCTTTTAAATATTTTTTTGACCTTTGTTGTGTGAATAGATTAGTTTTTGTACGTCTAATTGGTTACCGGTAAATCTATTTTTATTTTCTTATTTGAAATATTAACTTGATACAATATGAGCACCAAATGGTGCTTCCTACGCGATAATGAGACGACAATATAATGGGGAGGGGGCGGAGCGAGAGTAAAACTGCTGAGAAACAGTAACATGATCACTTTTACAAAGTACATTTAAAGGAACAAACTAATTTCAAAAATAGAAAATAAGGAAACAGTTGAATGTTTTTCATTGGTTGGGGTTCTGAGCTGTATCTGATAACGTCTCGAGTAAATGCGTCCCATTATCTCCCAAACCCTATTTAGGCGATGACATGAACCAGTGAATGTTAACTATGCTTCATTCCATGATGGTACATCATGTTTCTTACTACGTACTCTGTTCTAGTAAATAGTAGGGTGATATAGCACATGCTCAAGCCCCAAAAGCCATTGTCCCAAAGTGACATCGCTTTGTCCAAACAAACAACTAAATCTCAGACTTACTTAAATCGCTGTTAATGAATTCAAGCAGTGATGCTCAAACGTTCTAGATAGTCGCGCATCTTCAGCTAGAAAAGACCAGATGAAGAGCAGAACTGTGTACACGTAAGCGATGTAAACCCAACATTTTACGGCCAGACTTAGGTTGAAGTATATCTCCATCGGTTTCGCAATACAGTTAGAAGTCACACCTGCCAGTTCTCCCTGGACGCTCTCATATCTTTTCAGGTGCGAAAATTTTTTGACAACTAATATGCCACAGCTCCTCACGCTAGTTGGTCTAGGCTCATCCAACTTCCAACCAGTGGGTCGCCGGCTCGGACCCCACACCGCCTGCCAAAGTTTGGCAGTTCCGGGTAGTATCACTTAGCCGTCGCACTATGCGCGTGAATCATTCCCAACTGCATGACAATTCAAATAGTTGCTGAGTAACCTTTTCATTTCATTTGTTGTTTTTAATTTTTTATCGTCAGGGTGTTGATAATTTTAGTAATAGAACTTCACACTTAATATCCCAAACCAATATATATTTTCTCTTGTAGAGCTTAGCTTTTGGTGCTGATGCAAATGGTAGTGGCGTTGTCATTTTATTGGAACTTGCTCGTCTGCTATCACAACTTTATTCAGATGAAGCCAATAGATCGCCGTGAGTATCAAATACTTTTTTTGTTGTTAACATTCATTCTTACAGTGATACTCTGATATTGCAACCGGTTCTGTAATTCTTTCCTAATTTACTTAAATGTATTTCAAACAGTATTTTATCTATAAAACACAAAATAACTTGTGCAAACAATATCCTTTTCGATAGATAATCTCCTCCTCTTCTGGCTCTACAATTATACATAATGTATGTTTATATACATAGAATATTCTAGATTAGTAGTCAATAACAATATTAGTGTTTTCTAAATAATATTGATTTGTTAATTAAGATCGCAATGGAATTACAGCGAGACACTAACAGAGTGCCTTAGAAATGCGGTTAAAAGAGCATTCCCTGCTGGCGAATCAGGCTGTGTCTTCAAAACCACTTCTCTTTTGCGTTCGGGAGTAGTTAGAGGTAAACTGCCTAATTTCGCCTCTTCCGTGTGTATCTGCCAATTTGACTGCTCCTGTGGAGTGAGTCAGTTAGTTTCATAGGCCATACAATTTGGCGTGCTCGTCGAATTTCCGAGCATCACCCTGCATAGTGGCTGTCAAAGGTCGGGTATGAAATGCTTCGGTGCGGGCTGCCCTGCTCTACACCTGTGAAACCTGGCCTCTCTGAGCTGAGGATATGCGGAGACTCTGCGTGTTGCATCATCGCTGTCTCCGCAGGATTGCTTGCGTTCGATGGCATCATCGCGTGAGTAATTCTGTGGTTCGGTGCCGTGTGTTTGAACACAGTGCAGATCACCATTCATTGAGTGTCGTCATCTGGAAACACCGGCTCCGGTGGGTTGGACATGTGCTGGGAATGTCATCCCAGAGGCTTCCGTATAGGTCTCTGTTCGCAAGCCCTAGGACGGGATGGAAAAGTCGGAGAGGTGGTCAGTTCATGACTTGGCATCGTGGGGTGAAGGATATTTGGGTTAGATTAGCATCGGTTGGTGTGTCACGACTCCCTGGTTAGGGTCCGCGAGATAACTCAAATCGATGGCTCGAAACGTTATCGGATATGGCCAAGAATCGTAATCAATGGCGAACATGTTGCAATCTTCTTCTTTCTTCCCTTCCCGATGATAGTTAACGAATACTGTTTGAACTTGTTAAGCATGACTGTTTTCCTTCCAGATGAAGTTCTTTATCCGTTCTCTCTCTCTCTCTCTCTTATATATATATATATATATATATATACATATTCTCTTCTTTCTTTTTTCTTTTGATCTATGTTGTTTTATTATTATTGTGGGACGCATCTTTCTTGGTGCCATATTGTACCAAGTTTTTATGTGTTTAAAATAAAATAAATAAAATAAAATAGTGGTTAAGTAAAGGATAAACAAAATCTATTCACATAGCGCTATTCTATCTCATCTTGTGGATACAGAACACAAGATTGATGCTGGGGACATCACTCGTACCCAATTCCCATGAAACTTCATCAACTCTCTTACAAACATTCGAGATGTTCATGAAGCCGGTTCATCCTCCCGTAGGAGATAGCCGAAGTAAAGTAAGTAAGTAAGTACAAGATGATGTTAACGAGGAGGCTTTCAGAGTAATTTACCGCAAACCAACAAATCTCAATTTCGCCTTAAGAGTTCGTTTACTAAATATTGCTGAGATTGGCCGTTGGGACCCACATTAAGAAGCCTAATCTATGTGTCCAAAAGAAGTTATTTCAGACATTATCATTACCTTGGCCATCCAGGTTTGAATGATCCTCAAATTTTGTGGAATTTTCCTAATTTTAGTTCATATTTTATTTGCTATTATATCTTTATTATTATTTAAGCATCTTTAATGAATTGTGGTAATTCCATTGTGATCTTACTTTACAAATCGATATTATTTAAAAAGCACGCCAATATTGTTATTGACTACTATTCTAGAATATTCTCTGTATATAAACATACATGTATGTATAATTGTAGAGCCAGAGGAGAAGGAAATTATTGAAAAGGATATTCTATGCTCATTTATTTTGTGTTTTATAGATATCTGAATGAATATTTTCGCAATATTTTATCTTTCATATGATTTTTACGACTTATTTTCATTATCTCCCAAACATGAGTTAGTAGCACGTCACTGAAGGCAACCATCCTGAAATTATCTTAGAAATTCATTTATGCCTCATGTTTACAATCGTTAAATTCCACGGTAAAATATATAGACAAACAGAAGGTGTATGAATGGAATCACTTATATCTCCAACCGTAGTCTGTCTGTCTGTCTGTTTTCGACATAGAACTTTGCACAAATGTGCGGAAGTTCAAGTCGCCACATTCCGAGTAGCACGCGAAGCAAGAGAAGAAAGTACAAGAAAAGCATAATAGAAACAGTGAGCAGAGTGTGAGACAAAGGAGTAATAAAGAAATACAAAACAATTTCATCCAACCGTAGTAGATATCTTTATACATAGCTAGAGAGATATGGCTATTAATGTATTTAATCCTACTCCAAATATAATATGGTGGAGATATGTGGATGACACTTCCAATCACAGTGTTAAAAACAGAACATATCTCTCTCTGGCTTCTTGACACATATAAACTCACTAGTAGAGGGAATACAATTCACGTTTGAATCAGAAAATGAACAAGGAGAATTAGCTATGGTGTTAAATTGTAAAATAAAACGAACAGAAGAAGGCGAACTGCACACTAGCGGCGTTTATAAAAAGCCAACGCATTCTGCTAATAGATATGTAGACTTTAATTCATCTCACTCATTCGTTGTCTGTGAAGGCAGGCTTAGTTAAGTGTCTAAGAAACTCAGCAATAGCACTAAGTAGTACAAGAAAAGACCTAAACGATGAAATAAAACAGATAGAAGAATAGCTGGTTGATATTACATAACTATCCTATAAAAATTCATCAGGAAGATCAAAATGATCACTAGAAAAATAAAAATAACCATGAAACTGCTAATGATAACATACAGTTTTACCATATAAGCAGGGGGACATTTGAAACTCTCCTCGCATAGGATTCCTAATAAAGCAGCAATTACGGTGGCATTCATAACACACAAACTCAATCAAGGACAAGCTCGGTATGTTAAATGACCCAATTAGAAAATACCTTGCAATGACTGTGAGTGAGGTCAACTACATAGGTCAAACTAGTAGATCGGGGGTAGTCAGATTATCGGAATATAAGAATTTAACTAAGGTTAGAATGTTTGACCCTGCGAAGATAATTTAATTTAATTTAGAAAAACAATCACACAACAGCGCCGGACATAGTTGGAATTTCTAAAAGTAATGTAGGTAGGTGGAGGGAGAGCTTGATCACTGAACCTTAGTTCATCGAGTCTACACCCAGCACATGCAATAGGAATGACTCATTACTAGTACCAAAGATATGGAAGATCCTACTACCAATCAAATCAAGAGATGCGAAGTAGTGGAATTTTATAGATGACCTTGGAAGGTTGTTTGTGAGTACCTTGATAGTATTATGAGCAGTGATAAATTGTGCTCGCAACGTCATCAGTAAATAATACTGTATAACACTGTGAGACTATATCAAAATAAATTTTACTCACAATAGAATTATAATCTACCACCACAGTACACAAGTTCTATTGTTACATCAAAACTACAAGTCATCGTAGAAAAATTTATGAAGAGGATTACGTAATAGCCGAGGACGCGATGAAAGAAACGGTTATAAAATTCGATAAGGTTAAAGTTGTTATTGAATGAAAAGTAAAGGTATATTTGAGTGTCATCCACCTGACAAGTGTGTGAAGAGTGTGAGAAAATGTACAAAGCAAACATGCGAGCGCGATAATAATGATTTAATCATTAAAAATACATGCGGATGTTCAGGGAGTAGATTAAGACCATTGTAGAATAAGATATTGGACAAACGCAGAGTTCGGAATTATATTGATGAATTCCAGCCAAATTGAAAATGCAAATCGTTCGGTATTCTTCATCAGTAAGTCCCCACCAGAGATTGAACACAACGTCTCTCACGTTACAAGACCAGCTTGTCCACTATTGAATCACTCTGGTTCTAAAACGCCCTTAAAGTCTTCCCTAACCGTTCGATTTTATTTTGATAATTAATTCACTAATACCATCTATACATGTTTGTTTTGTACATTCTCTTATCCCCCACTTCACACTTATCAAGTAGACGACACTCAACTACTTTTCTTCTATTGTGCCGTTGACTAGTACGTAACTTTTGAATTTTGTTTTAGAAGACAATTATGAGTAATTATATCAACTATGTCACCGCCCCCACCCTTTTTATTTAATAACAGACTGCTATAAAGAATCTTGGTAAATATTCATACGATTATTACAGCCTCTAAAGATGATTTCGGCGATAAAGAAAATTATTCTACGCTGAATTGTCCTTAATTTTTTTACGAGTTGATCACGGATTGATATCAGTTAGAGAACCATTGAAAACCAGGGAGTACTGGACAGCTGCTGTTTCATCCTAGTTTGGGAATCATCGGAAGTACACACCCACTGGGATTTGAACCCGGGACCTTCCGGTTACAAGGCAAGCTCGTATACCATTCAGCCACTGGGACCCGATTCAATGGCTCGTGAATTCTAACTTCTACAAATTCGTGATTTAGCGCGACCCCAACCATTGTCGTTGGTGGGACATCCATCCACACACGTGACATCCTGGATTCAGAAGATCAACAGATATTTATAGATTTTTATGTACATTATGATTAGCGTTATTGTTAGCAGAGGAACAGTGTCTTCTGATTGGTTGTTTTCTTGCTCAAGGTTATTCTGTCCTGTTTGTGACCGTTTCTTAGAAAGTTAAGCCATATATCTGCGAATCGTATGTGTACACGCAAAGTGGGCTGTGATTGGCTAAGCTTTGTTATTGTTTTTTTTCTCATGACTCCGATTCGGCACGTAAAAACTGACGTCAACTGCTGTCCACAATTTTGGCTTGCAGACAGCTCTTACCACATAGTCATTTCGAGGATGCTTTCAACTTCAAAAATCAGTAACTGTGTGTCATATATAGAAAACAGTGGAATGCTGTCCACCTGGATCTCTGTCGGTCGCCATATCCCTACTAAAATTTTGATATATGTATATCATCAAAATACTAAACAGCATCCAATCAATATGAGTCAGACTACCCCACCAGTCGCCAAAAATTTCTGCCTTTTAGTCTTTTCCACTTTAGTGTACTTCCCAGTACTTTATTACATTGACCTTTTGTTTCTTGGATGTCTGTCGGCTTTGAAAGTTCTCTCTTCGACTTGATCTCAAATGTCTAAGAACTATTGCAGTTTCATCTTTTTTTTCTCGGAAGCCAAAAAACAAACAAAAACTGGAATGTCATTTAACTACCGACTGAAATTCCACGTAGTTAGCATTCAGCCGCACCTATTATTGTGTATGAAGGCCACCGATACTACTCAAGGATGACCAGACGTCAGTTGGCGGAGAGGGTGGAGTCCGAATCTGTAACCGAGTAGTTGAAAGTCGGATGCCTAGATATCAGTGAACCGCAGTTCCACAGCCAGAAAACAGTAATGGCAGAAGAAAACGAAGTGGTTTTGTCAGGCAAATTACAATAAGTACCAATACTACGGCCTTGCAGTGAATACATTTTATACAGATAATACTGTATTCTACTATCAGAAGAATTTATCCTTTCACTTCTTGTATTATCTATCTCACAGTAATCCTCGTTTTACATCCTGTAAACTCTAGGGGTTAATCGAATCCTGACACACTTTTATAAACCTTTATTTAGCATTCATATTAATCGTCTTTATGTTGCTTTTTTTGCTGAATTTTTGATTTAAAAAAAACGCACAACTCAGATACCAAATTGTATTCCTTTTAACGGGCGGTGGAAAGTTCAATTTCGTCGGGTCTAAACGTTGGCTTGATCGAAGTATTGAAGATTCTGTTGGTTTAGGTATGTTCTTTACTATTTTGTGCATATATAGTGTTTATTGATTGTTGTCTAACACTGTTTCTGTCTAAGAATGTGAATAAGTAGGCATTCCTCATATTTTTGATTTGCCAACTTATGTCATCTCTGACGTAGATGTCATGTCTGGCTACCCATCAGATGTCACCTGTACTGTGCAGCAGTCCGCTCAGGACAATACATGGCCACTGAAATTGGGAGATACGAAAATACTGACTGTCTCCAACCACAGATGTGTTTTGAGTCACTCTTCCGTGTTAATTGGTGTAATATACTGAACAATATGGGGTTAGTGTTAGTTGAGGAAGGGATGCCAATCAATATGATTGCAGTGATACACCAACTAAGAGGTCTTGGACAGGTGTTGCACACACCGAGCCGCCTCCTCCTTACACAGGTCATGTTAACTGAAATAGGATTACGTTGGGAAAGAACTAGAAGTAGTCCCATCGAAACCTGGAATCAACCGATAATGTCGTTGAGAGTTGCTTCGAGCCATCTTGTTGGAAATCTCGGGATTCTAGGAACCAATGATCGAAGGCTGTTGGTGTGGTATGGCTCCAATTCAATGGTGCAAATGAATTCACTCTTTGTTATGCACCAGGTCCATTGAAGCCAAATGTTTTTCCGTGTGACTATTCCTTCTTCAGTGCATCAAAGTATCCAGTATAGTCCTACAGGAAGTCAATCGCCAGCCTGAACAGCTCAGTGATAATATTTCTGACTGCAAGCAGCACTGGCTGATACGGAGTCGAATTCCAGAATGGATATGAGTTCCTTCAAGATTGCACATACACCTTGCTAACTGGTGAGTGCCAACTAGCACGAAATAGTAATAATAACCTACTTTATTCCAAAACAGACAGTACTTATGATAGAGAATGGAATTGTCAGCACTTGTCACAATATTGCATCTGATTTACTTAATTTAATATAAATAAAATTAAAAATCAAAACAAAAGTAACCAGAGGAATTTGACCACGTGTACGGTAGGAATAAAGTCAAAAATATTTGAAGTACGAATTTAGAATATTAAATAATAATAATAATAATAATAATAACAGTGAGTTTGTTTCAAACAGTATCGTCGATTCAGTTTGGAAATTTTAGCATCTTATAGATTATTTGATCTAATGTTCTGTTGATTTAGCAGCATGGTGAAGGGAAATGCAAAATTAACAGTTATAACACAGCTTAAATGATGTTTACACTTTTGAGAAAATAAACAAATAAAAATGAAAAAATTGATGAAAATTATAAATATAAAAAGTACAATAACAATAAAGCTTGATGTTATGAGGGTGAAGGAAATGGTTTATTTAATAGTGCAGAGAAGGTTAGTTAGTTCGTTCCTGGCACATAAAGTACGTGCCGCCAAATATGGTATAGTGGAATTTTTATACCTAGACGTACGTGGATCAAGTCTTCTGAAAAGACTTCTTGTTTTACCTGAGGAGGAGACACAAGGTTGGAGCTGTAGGTAAAGTGGATGTTCACAGTCTGACAAAATTCCTTTAGCAAATTTGTTGCATGACATCAAATGCCTATCAGTGACAATGTCAACGATATAGCCCAATGGAATGCCACCACTCGTCCTACTGACAGTCAATCTTCAGAGTTCTACGAAGTATGACATAGTCTTATTTAAGCAATCCAGGAAAGAATAAGCAAGGGTGAACAGTAAAGAAGAATAGGTAAGAGGCAAGAGTTGACAAACTGTAAGCGGAGGAGGGGTTGAATTATGCCTGAGTGCCTTAACTTCTTAATGTAAAAAGTCAGACGAAATATTATTTTAGAAATCGCTAAGACATGAGAAGACCAGGATAGGTCAAACGAAAGAATTAATCCAAGATACTTAACTTCAGACTTGATTTCTATATCAGTATCATCAATTTTGCAAGGGTCATAAGAACCAATGGCTTCGTTTACCTTTCTATTACATCGCAAACTGAACTAACAGTCTGACATTTAGAAGGATTCAGTTTAAGGCCATTTGATGAAAACCAAGTTAGCGAAAACTTCCCTCTTATAACAAAAATCCAGAGTATACCGTGATGGTGAGCCAGCCACCTAGCTTGGTGACCACTGTGGAAACTTGACTGATAGAAAATTCGCTCTGCACTAAATGAAGGATTATACGCATTGCATTACTTCCAACCTAGTGTCCAGTCAAAGTAGGTTGAGATTCAATCAGCCAGTGAGCTTTTACACTCAGATACTTTTCAGCTACCTTGATTGCTATCCTGCATATTTATTGGTTGAGTGCAATCAACAGAAAGCTATAAAGGTTATATGTCCGCAGTTAACTTGTCTACAGCTTAAAAGTTAATTTTTTCTATAGTTGGTTTGTAAGGATGAGTTTTGTTTTTTTCGGGTTTGACCACGGATTGATATCACAGTTAGAGAACATTGAAAGCCAGCCACAGGGAGTACTGGACAGCTGTTTCCTTCGTCCTAGTTTGGGAATCATCGGCAGTACGCACCACCGCCAGGGGGTTCGAGCTCAGGACCTTTCGATTACAAGGCCAGCAAGCTTCTAGACCATTCAGCCACTGGGACCCGATTCAATGGCTAGCCCATGAATTCTAACTTTTACCAAAGTTAATGATACGAATAAAATTCAAGTCTTGGTTTTGTAGGGATTTTGTTTGATTGCAGACAGGATTTCATCATGAGCTGACATCAGTTAAAGAACCACTGGAAAAGCAGAGAGCACTAGACAGCTCTTTCGTCCTAGTTTGGGACTCTTCAGCAGTATGCACTAGTGACTGGCCCTATTCAGGCAATTTACCTATGGTTCTAGTGGGAAGACGTGACCAGTAGGATACAGCAGGTTGAAGGTGAGGCAGTGACTCATCGAAAAAGACATTGCGAAATGGTCGCGCTATGTCGTGAATTGGCAGAGGTTAGAATTCATGGGCTGGTCATTGGATCGCGTCCCAGTGGCTTAATGGTCTACGAGCTATAATTCGCCTTGTAACCAGAAGGTCCCGGTGGATGCGTACTATCGAAGAGTCCCAAACTAGGACGAAACAGCTGTCCAGTACTCCCAGGTATTTCAGTGATTCTGTAACTGATGTCAGCTCATGATGAAATCCTCCATGCAATCAAAATTCAAGTCTACACCAAGGAGCACTGTAGCAAAAAGTTTACTATTAAGTTAATTAAGGCTTTGCTTGACTTTTTACCTTAAATTAGGTGTGCAGAATATTTACAAACCAGTTACCGATATCATGTCTAGTAAAAATTTGTGATGTATTATCAACAACCACGAGAACCTAACCAGACAGATTCCCATCACTTTCAACCGTGTTACACTCGTAGGAAATTGACTACGACTTCAGATTAGTGACAATGGCATCGAAAACTTTGAAGCTTTTTTCCACTCTTTTGCGTTCCGAATGGAACATTGAGCTTTTTTATCAGTGGTCGTGCAGCCCTGTTTAAGGGCTGGAGTTGCTAGCATCACAGTCACCCTTCCCTCTTTACCCCGGCCATACTACTGGGTGGGCGAATTCAAGGAAGTTAAGGGAGTCAGCTGGGGGATCAAACATGAACCAGGTTTTCTAGATTGACCGGGTTTTGAACACTAAACTACCGACGCATCTATTTAGAACTGAACTGTTAGTTAGTTGGATCTTAATTACCTAATACTGGACTGTAAGCCTTAAATTAATGTGTGACTCTGGGGGAGAGGGACTCGAACCCGGGATTCATTGACTGACTGACTATTGGTCGAGTCCCCGATACATCACATCTCCACTAGAACTAAACAACTTGACGTTAGAATAATTCTAAGCAATTTTTACAAAAAAGAAAAATGGTATTTTTGATATCTACAATGTGATCAAGTAAACTGAAGCAATTTTTTTTGATTGGTTCATGTATCTTTTTTCTTTCAGCTCTCTTAGATTCAGTTGCTCAAGTCATCTGTTTAGAAGGTTTGGGTTCTTCCAATTTTGGTCAGAATATGTATGCGCATGTCTCAAAACCACCGAAAGAAGGCTCATTTTCATACAATTTCCTCAAAGCTTTGAATGTATCAAGTCATCTGCATCCTTATCCAAATGAGGTAGCTCTACAATCTCTTATTACTACCATGTTTGTTTGTTTTTCGTTTATATTATACTAATGCGAAGTCACTTTATCATTAAGTTCTCTTTTGTGAATTATCATGAATGTAAAATAGCTATGAATCCTGCTTAACTATTCAGTGTGTTGAGCATTTGAAAAAGTGTTATTTACGTCGAGTTGAATAGGTACGCCGGGCTGACCACGTCTGTCTGTCTGCTGCAAGGATGTGCAGCAGTTCCACTCACTACACTCCATGTAGCACACGAAGCAAGAGTAGAAAGTAGGACAAATGGAAAGTAGAGACAGTAGACTAGTATATGAGACAAAAGGAATAGTCATAACGAAGAACAGTATAGTTTCATTGGATATTATAAGTCACAAGGAGTGGATGCATCTGCGTCAGTCATCGAGAACAATTTTGAGTCATATCACCGATTGTCTTCAGCCTTCATTGGTTTTAACCATACCGTGAGACCCCAATCAGTCAGGAAGTCTACACTTTCCTGAGTGAATGGCTTAAACTAACTGTTGTGGATTTCATTGACTGATGAAGTCATCTTTTGGTTTGACCATCACTGACTCTTTTTTCAACCTAACCAGATGTCAGCTAACATCGGCCGTCAGTCGAGGAAGGCGATCGATAGCTAGGGATGCATGCGTAATGATATGTATCCACATATATATATATTTATGTGTGTGTGTGCATGTTGGTCTCTCTTTCTGTTTGCTCAGTTAGTCTGTGACCACTTCACTTGTATGAACCTGTCTCCTTTATAATGTATATTCTCCTTATGTTATATTATATATAATATGAGTGTTTGTTGACAGTCCGTTGCTTGGTGACATATATCCATATATGGTTGTTGACATGTCTGCTATATTCGCTATGTATATTGGATCGACACTCCATTATAATTAGCCATTCATGTTAAGACTGTCTAATGATTTTTCCCACGCTTTGTCTGGAACATTTATATATATTCGCATTCACAATTTGTGTGAACTACTTTACTTACTTACCACTTTGGTGTGAGACCATTTATTTTGGTCTCCTTGTGTTTGGACAATAGAAGTATCATCGCAAACCTAGTGGTCTTCTGATTTCCGCCTTCTCGCGTCAGGACTATTAGTTTCTCAACCAGACCATAACAATAATTTAGCGACGAGTACATAACAATTTGGCGACGGGGAAACTAGTACATAACACGTAACACATGTCCTAACCATCTCAGTCGATGAAGATTCATAGCGTCATCGATTGATTTCCCCTCTTTACCTAGCACTTGACTGATGCCTAACCTCATTATTACTCACTTTATTATCCCACTTCACACGGGAGATAGAACGCAGACAAAAGTATGATTAAAGACAGCTAGCTGGCCTTTTCATGTCATCTACTCTCAATGGCCATGTCTCGCAACCAACCGTCTAGGTGGCAGAGCGAACTGCTGAGCAGCAGTACACACATCCTTTGGTCGATAGCTGGATATCACTTCTACTAAACCAAAGACGGCGTAAACTGGCATATGTGAAAGAGGGAGGGCTGGGTGTATGACTAGCAATCCCCCTCGCGTAAAAGTAAACACCACTGCTACAGAAACTTCAAGCCTCTAGCTTGAAACCCCATGTTCCACTGAGAACCTAAAGTATTAGAAAATAGAAAAGAAGAAAAGGTATAGAGATGTGATGGCATACGAATGAAGTTGCTGAAGTGAATTAGGGTGATGCATTTATGACTACTGATACTCTCATAGTCAACACAGATGATTGTTTATAAAAATCATGCTAATGATTCGTAACGGTTAATAATTTGTATATATATTGGCTTGACAACTAGCATGTAGGGCTTTTCCATTGGATACTAGTCAGTAACTGGTGTAATGTGTCTAGTCGTATCTTTGGCGCAGACTGAATTCCACCATCAGTCAAATTTGCCATGTGATCACGACGCTAAGTGGCTCGCCATCACAGTGCACTTTGAATTGTTATTAGATGGTTAGAGGCAGTCGGTAGGAAGCGTTGGACCTGTGTGTCGTTCTTCTTAGCACTCACCAGTCAGCAAGGTATATCTGGAACCTTGGAGGAACTCACGTCCCTTCTAGGGTTCGAACCCGTGTCACCCAGTGCTGCAGTTCAAGAGGTTATATAATGTATAATATTATATGTATTATTCCCTTGCGTTTCGAGTGGAACATAGGGCTTCAACAACACGTTTTTACTGTGTGTTTTTTTCTGCCGCCCTCTTCACGACTGACCAAACTCTGTCATCTCTTCCTCACACGATCTCCTCTATGTCACCCTCCCACGGACGACCCGCTCGTCGCTTCCCATTTAAATTCCACTCGAGGGCCTGGCGTGCGATGTCATTCGGCGGCTTCCTCAATGTATGCCTGATCTATCTCCACTTTCACCTACATATTTGTTGAGCGATCGGCTCTTGGTTGGTTTTTTCTCAGAGTTTCTTGTTGCTTATTCTTTCTCTCCGACCATTTGATCTTCAATATGCAGCTGGCGAAGGGTTCAACTCTTGATAAAATTCTGTAACTTGTTGGAAATCCTTCTCGTGACACATCAAGTTTCTGACCCGCATAGAAACTTCAAGAGGTTACCACTGAGCTATTCCAGCTGGTGATTGAACTCCTGTACTGGATACTTTGACTGGACACAAGTCAGTAACTACTGTAATGTGTGTAGTTCTGTCTTTGTCAGTCGCGAGCCCGAATAGCTCAGTGGTAACGTCTCTGACTACTGTGGTGATTGGCGCGAGCGCACATTTGTATCTCAATAGGGACATAAGTATTCGTTTAAGATTAAAGTTGCGCCTTGCTGACTGGTGAGTACCAACTAGCACGAGAACCAATTTAAAAAAGGCTTCCTTCCGATTGCCGGAAACCATCTAATGTCAGCAACTAGTAGCGTAACAACAGAAGATAAAGGTCAGGAAACAGATCGTTTATTAAGAAAATCAACGCATATTTATAGGTTTTCATGTACATTATTATAGATGTTGTTAGCTGAAAAATACAGTCCTCCGATTGGTTGTTTCTCACTAAAAGTTAATCTGTCATCTCTTTGTTGCTGTTTTTCGAATGTCAGGTCATCTATATATTAACTGTATCCGCCTACGCAAAGCCTCTGTTCTCATTTTTCTCACGACCAATATTGGGGACATAAACATTGACGTAAATTACTGTCTACCAACTTTTGCTAGCAGTCAGCTCTCATCACAGTGGTACACTTTTGTCAGCGTAAGAAAGCTGACAAGTGTTTATTTTTAAAAATTAACCGACCATTTAAAGCCTTTTATTGAACATCTTTCAGGAAGCGTAATGTTCATTTGGCTTGCCCCTCAGCATTCTCAGCAAACTGTAAGAATAAAATTTTGTCTGCCATCTTAATTTATCAATTTAAAAGTAGAATAAGAAATGTGTCTCAGGTCAACGCAAAAAACAACACAAGAAATACCGTCGACTCAAGTTATTTGTTTGCATGTGTTTATGTTGTGTGTGTGTTGTAGAAATAAGATTAGGTCTATTAAATTAACTTTCACTCTCTTCGTAACGAAGTCTGAAACGAAATATCTGAAATGTCTTTGCTCAAAATGTTATCTCTCATTATAACTAATCATTTTAATGGTGTGTGCGGACAGTGGTATGTATAGTTGACCTTCAAATGAGATCATATGGCAGTATAAACAATTAGAAGGTCAACATTAAAATCAATAGATGTTGGAATTTTCGGTATGCTGTATCCAGCACTTTAGTAATTGTGTTGTGGAATACAAAAGTTATTACGAAATATTACCAGTGATTGAAAGGTTAAAGAAATCCAAACAAAGTACATAAGTAAGATTCATCAGAAAAAAATGACTAGTTTATGTGAAGTAGTAAGCATACTTTTAAACACTGGAAGTCGAAATAACGGGTACTACAGCAACATTAGCCATGTGAGAATGGTCTGGGTTTCGATTTTTTTGGCCATAAATATTCACGTTCTATCTTCTGTTAAGTGATATAATATAATGAGGTTGGGCGTAAAGTGCTAAGTGAATCTGTCTGTGTGCTCTTGGAAGTGTGTGTGGGCGGTTGTTACTTCCCGGCTGCCCACACCATAGGAGTTGATTGATTCTTCAGGTACCTGAAACAGAAGCAGAATTAGTGTTGCGTGACCTCAGAGCCCAATGGACAGCCAGTTGAGGCCGGTCACACATGGTCTGTATGAATTGGTTTCTGGGATTGGTTCCGTATTAGTAAACTTACCGCCGGTTGCAGACTACCGTAGGTGGAGTAAGTCAGGATGTACAATTGTTGGAGTAGACCTTTTCTAATCCCCTCTCTTTCTCCAGAGTGGAGAGACAGCATAGCTGTCTGGCAAGCTGGTCATCTGCTGTTATATCTCTGTTCCCCAGAAGTACGATCGCGCCCACAGACCCCCAGCATAGTGCGAAAAAAATTCTTACACAATGCCGGTAACTGCTTTTAGTCTAATCTCGCTATCTTAACAACCTTCCTGGCATGGTGGTAGGCCCTGCAGGAATAATAGTTCCAGCCAGTGTAGCTTGTTGGGTCATTGCAATGTGCAAGCCGACCACCACGTCAAGGTAGCAGCTGTCGGTCAGGCTAAGTGAATACGATGAGTCAGTAGATAAGGTTGTGAAGGTGAACCGATTGAGATGGCTCGGAAATATGTGGCGCATGACAAGCCACCACCTCTCTGGACGGGATTAGTGCTAGTCTATGTCTGATTAAATTGGAAGTGTTCGGTGAGGGGGGGTCACCAAACCAAAGCCTGGAATCAATCGAATAAGTCTTCGACTGTTGGTTTCAGACATATGAGGCGGTGTGTAGACTGCCTGGCTGGGGTCCCGGGGATTCAAAGAACCAATGGCTTGAGACTATTGGTGATATAGTTGAAAATCTTTCTCAATCTCACAAATGCATTAACTTCTTCCGTTCATATCCGTTAAACTGTCATTTTTGTGTGTGTTTGAAGCCAGTCCTTTGCATCACCTTCAGCTGACGATACTGAGGCATTTATCCACCTCTCTTTTATCGTTAATGGTTAGTTCTTCAAAAGAATTTGTCACACAATAAATTTTAAAATGTGAAAATATTATTTTTATTTAAAAATTCTAGTTGTCAAATTCCAAATCACTGGACAACAATGACAACAACAACAACAATCAGTCAAGTTTCGTGCATATGATTCATAAAAAGATCAATTTGAATCAAGAAATTCTAGCCTGGGAACATGAACGCTATTCAATTCACAGGTTGCCCGGCTTAACTCTGTCCAATTGGCCGTCTGTTCATATAGCTAGTCAATGGCGTCAAACATCACTTGATGGCGGTGTACCAATGGATACGGGTGATGAAAATGCTGGTTCTCATCATCGTGGCAATGTTAGCCCACTTCTGTTGGCGCGGAATACTCATGTTATTTTAGAAGCTTTATTACGTGTAATATATGAGATGAATTCATCGCATCCGATCATAAAGAATTCACCGATAGTACCACCTCATGTAAGTAATTATTTATGGTGTTATTTGTTGGTTTTTTGATGATAATTTACGGGCAAGTGGACGGGGTGGCGATGGGCTCTCCCCATTGGGTCCCATTTTGGTTGATTTTTTTATAAGTAAACTAGGAAATGGACCTCTGAACAACCTTCTTATGAGAAAATTGTCATTTTATTGACGGTATGTGGATGGCACCTTCATTCTATGTGATAATGATTCGGATAGGAGTACAATAATAACTGAATTAAATGAAGTCCATTCTGCTATGGAATTCACGTGCGAAGAGGAATTCCAAGACAGAATTAACTGTCTTCCTGGATGCCCTCGTTACAAGAAAACCAGATATTAGCATAAAAAAAAATTTACATAGAAAAAGTACATGGACAGGACAATATATACACATTTTCACAGCTTCGTTCCTATCAAGTACAAAAGAAATTTAGTGATGACCCTCAGCCCCAGAGTTAGAGCTATATGCTCAAAAGAAGTAATTCAAGATGAACTAGACATTGTATATGATACTTTGATTGAAAATAGCTATCCCGACAAATTTATGAAGAAACACATGACAAAGAAAGCGGAAAAGGACTACTCACTATCCGTAAACAAGAAGCCTCCTTATATGTAAATGCGATTCAAGGACAATATACCACCAAGTGAGATAATAACGAGGAAATTAAGAAAATTAGTTCAAAGAACTTTTAATGCTGGTGAACTACACGTATTATTCTCTACACTATCGATGGTGCTACTTCGACTGAAAGATGAAGTACCTTGACTAGACTAGCTAGCTACTTCCAATTGTATCTACCAATTCAGTTGCGCTTGTAGTGGAGCGAGTTATATTGGCCGTTGCTCTACGAACTTGATTTTTCGTGTTCTCTCGGAAACATCCACCAGTGTGGCTAAGTAAAGGTGTAGTGAAAACCATCAACAGTTCAATATTGGACCATCTGGTGCAAACCGGCCACAAAGCCAGCCAGCCCATTGAAGAATCCTTCTCTATCATCTACCAGGTACGAAGTAAATTTTCAAAAAAAATCGAAGAACCTCATGCTTCAACCAGCAGAGGCTATTGCGATTCGCCTCAAACAACCAGGGTTCTGTGTTCAAAAGAAGCAAGTCCAGACCCTACTACTGCCCTGGCCTTCAGTAGAAATTATAAACTCATGAATTTGTAATATTGTCTTTCCTAATTCAGCTGTAATCTATCAATATTATTGATTAAATGTTGTTTAAACAACATTAATATTTTTGATAGCACTACTTCATTCATTCATTCATTCACTATAATGGATGGATATATAACTGTAGAGCCTTATGATGAAGGGGTTATCGAAAAGAGTAATCTTTGTTCAGTAACCATTCTTTTGAAGAAGTTAATGAGCATTTTTAGTCAGTTAGAACACTATGATTGTTAGCATTCGCACATACTTAAGTGTCCAGTTCGTACGTACGTACACTGTTATTGGGTAATAAAATCGTGAAATACTACTTCAAATAAGTGAAGAGCGTCACTTAAGCTTTCAAATAATTATGGTTTTGAGTAGAAAGTGAGGTTTTAACAGCACGTCTCCGCTTCACTATGTTCTCTAAAAGTTTTCATCTGACTTCACGGTAGCTCGTTAACCTTCATGGACTTCTTTCTTATAGGATCTACATCATGTCACCCTCGAAGCCATGCCCAAATCATCTTTTCTCATTTGGGTTCCACTCAGGGGCCTGCCAGACACGTGATGTTACTCAGCCGTCTTGCCCAATCCATCTCCATTTCTTTCTGCATACTTGTAGGTGGATAAGCTGTCGGCTGATATGTTGTCCACCAGAGTCCCTTTGTGGAGTTTGTGGATCATTGACTGTAGCACTCGACTTTCAAACAGTGGATCTCAGATTCGAATCCCTCTCCACCTACCTCAGCCCTCTCACAGTAGGTGTCGCTAATAGCCTTGAACACGAGGGATATGTTCCGGAATTGAATTCAGGGTTGCTTATCCTTTTTGTTTTTTCCCTGGCCATCAAATTTACAATTAAGTGCATGAAATTGTCGAAAATTGTTTCTACTCTACTAACCAAGATATTTAGAATATAAAATTCTTACTGAGTGTTATATGTCTTTTATTAATATTATTATTATTACTATTATTATTATTAATTCCTAGAGGAACATAGGGCTTCAGCTGCCCACCTCCATTGCCTTCTGTTTTCTGCCAACTTTTTCACCCCGCTCCAAGTCTGCCCACATGCTTTCATCTCCTCTTCACATGACCTCCTCCACCCCATGTCACCCTCGCACTGACGACCAACTCTCCACTTCCCTTTCGGGTTCTACTCGAGCTATGGCTTGTCTAGTGATGTCACTTGATGGTTTGTTTCCTCAGAGTACGGCCAATCCACCTCCATTTCTTCCTGCTTATTTGTTGCACAATCGGTTCCTGCTGGGTTGATTCGTGCACTGCCAGAGATCCCTGTTGCTGATCTTTTCTGGCTGGCCATCTGATCTTGAGTCGTATTGAGTGAAGACAACTGTTGATGAAGGTCTGCAGTTTGTTTGAGATGCTCTTTATGACTCGCCAAGTCTCTGATCCGTATAGTAGCACTGAATTTATATGTCTATACTCTTGTCTAAATCATTGAGTTAGGCTGCGGGATAGCAATTTATACCTGATTCCCGTTTCTTAATTTTGATACTCATCTTGGCTCCCAACTGCAAACTTATATCGAGCACCAACTATTACCAAAGGGGAGTCGTTGTTCAGTGGTTTAGGCTATCGACTTCCAGCTGATAAATCATGGGCTCGAACCTTTCTCCCCATCTAATACTGAGGTTTGAGGAGCCTTCACTCAATAGGTGTTGCTTATTGTCAACTGCACGGTATTGCAAGTAGTATCCTTTGCTAATTTATTCGTCCCTCCGTTGGCTTCAGTCATTATGTGGTGAGAGCTAGCTGCAAGCCGAAAATTGTAGACAGCAATTTACGTCAGTGTTGCATCCCGAATCGAGGTCATGAGAAAAAACAATAACAAATCCTAACCTTGAGGAGCTCAACAACCAATCACAACAGACTTAACGTGTGCAAATACGATTCGCAGATATATAGCTTAACTTTCTAAGGAACGGTCACAGGCAGCACAGAATAACCTTGAGCAAGAAAACAACTAATCAGAAGACGTTGCTTCTCTACTAACAATAAGGCTAATAATAATGTGCGTCGGTGGCACAGTGGTTAGGACTCTCGCCGACCATGCACATGGTCCAAGGTTTGATCCCCTACCGACGCACACCTGATATCTATGGTCGGCCTGAAAAATTTGGGCTACCGATATCCATGCTGAAAATTCCATACTTGTACCAAAAATACATTGTGGAATCAAGCTGTAATCAAAAAAATAAAATAATAAAAATCTATAATTATCTATTAATTTCCTCAATAAATGATCTATCTGGCCTTGGCCCTTGTCTTTTGTCGTTACAATTATACTTAAAGCTCATTGGTTTCAACATACTTACTGGATGGGGAATAAAAAGACAGCTGCAGCGAAAAAAATTTTTTTCGACGAAATCATCAACTAGGCATTTATGATGAATGTGGGTGGGAAAGTTCCTGAATAATTTCTGGTGACGGGTCAGATTATTAGAATTACAATTAGGAATTAAAATGCCATAATAAACAGGGGGATGGACGAATAAAACTCAAACAAAATAGCATCATAATTACTGAGAAGATTGACATTGATTGTGCAATTAGGGGTTGGAAATGTAGAAATAACAAAAATAGATAGACAGGATGTTTGGATATGAAAATATGTTAAGGTCAATAGGGATTGAGAAAAACTTAAAAATAACATGAATAAACAGGAAGTTTGGATAAGAAAGGCAATGGGACTATCCCGTCCCAGTAGTTATGACTTCACTAGAATTTTTATCCAAGCATCCTGTCTATTTTTTGTTATTTTTACATTTCTAACCCCTAATTGCACAATCAATGTCAATCTTCTCAGTAATTATGATGCTACTTTGTTTGAGTTTTATTCGTCCATCCCCCTGTTTATTATGGCATTTTAATTCCTAATTGTAATTCTAATAATCTGACCCGTCACCAGAAATTATTCAGGAATTTTCCCACCCACGTTTATCATAAATACACGAATGTACAGCCTAGTTGATGATTTCGTCGAAAAAAATTTTTTCGCTGCAGCTGTCTTTTCTCACTGGATGGTAAGGTTTGTTTGGCACTTGACGTATACAATTATACCTTCTCGATTCCCTTATTGTTGTTATCTAACATTGTCTGTCACGGCATTTTTATTTCTACGTATTCGTGTAATGAATGACATTGTGAATAGTGTGCTTCATTGAAATATTAGTGGTCTTCACACAATGACATCTCGCAGTATTAAACTTACATTTTTACTAATGTATATTTGCATTCATAGGATGAATGTGTGCATGTGTGCGCGCACCAGTTAAATTCACTGTTGTTCTGTGTCTTTTTTCATCTAGTGGTCGTCTGAAGTCAGCACTGGTGCATTATTAGATCTAATAACTAAATATCCACGTAGTGCTCAATATTTAACGTCTAAATGGATGACAAAAACTCAAGAACGCATGTTTACTGAGATACCAACAGCACATCGACTCAATGGTGGTGGTGGTGGTGGTAAAGATGCTGTTTCACATAAAGCAGGAATAATTAAAAGTTTAGAGCACTATTTGTCAAGATTTATGGATGATGTTCGTGTTGTTCAACACTCGTTGACTGATGAAACAATTAAAGTTAGTGACAAGACCTCTTCGTCTTCGTCATCATCTGGTCCTAGAGGTGGAGGAGGAGCTCAGACAAAAAATTCTGCTGAATCCACTGGTAATTCAGTCCCGTCAATTGTTACTTCAGCGGCAGCATCAACAGAAGTCGAAGTTGTTTTGTATTCTGATGTAACCCCATGTGTTATGTCTCTTCACAGGTGAGTTAAACTTGTTCCTTTCTTTGAGGCGAAGGGGATTGGGTGGTGATAATAAAAGTCATATACTTGAGATATTGTATATTTCTAAATAATTGTATATGAAATGTAGAGTGGCTCCTGCTGTTATCCTTAAGAAGTGTGCTGACATATGATGTTCCCCACTAACTGACATTTTCAACGAATCTTTTTTCCAAAAGCATTATACCTGACTCATGGAGAAATATCAAGATTGTTCCAATGCCTAAATCAACAAGTGAACCTACTGTTAAGTTTAGACCCATTGCTATTACCTCACCTTTTTTGAAAGTTATGGAAAGACTTATTTTACACAATCTTGAACCCTGCTTAAAGCCTTTCACTGACCCCAACCAGTTTGCCTATAAACATAGTGGGTGTACCTTAGATGCCGCTGTTGTCCTGTATCATAATATGGTCTCTAGTTTAGATAGAGGAGCTAAATACGTTCGGTGTGCCCTCCTTGATTACATATCTGCATTTGACTCTGTACCTAGGTCTTTCTTGCTAAGTAAGCTTGCTGCAACACGGGCTGAGAGCTAGACAAATAAGTGGCTGCATTCCTATTTTTCTGATAGGAAGCAGTACACCGTTTACAATGGAAAGTCCTCCATTACCTCACTTACTTTAGATGGTGTTCCTCAAGGTGCTGTTCTTTCTCCCTTTCTGTTTTCGTTTTTCTTACATGGCTTGCCTCATTCTGATGTAGCCACTTTTGTTAAGTATGCTGATGACCTCTCTGTTTCTATGCCTGTCAACTCTCAGTCAGATTGTTCCAAATTGAATAACTTTCTGTCGGAAATTAGTCAGTGGTCCTCATCAAACGGTCTTAAGCTGAATCCGTCTAGATGTCAGGTAGTCAGTTTCACTTTCAGATGTAAACTTGACCTACAACAACTAGTTAGCTCACATGGCCCCACTATCATTGACGGCACAGAGGTTGAAAATACATCTAATGTCAAGTACCTTGGGCTGAGTTTTTCCACCGATCTTTCCTGGCCCTCCCACATCTTGCTAGTCACTAGAAAGATGTTTCGCTTAACGTCCTACATTAGGAAATTTAGGCAGTCTGGCATAAAGCAGTTTTTGCTTTCTCAGTTTGTTAATTCTTGTATTCTGCCCATCCCCCTTTACTGCTCTCCATTAATCTTTCCTGAACTAATTAAGAAAGACTTTGTTTTGCTGAGAAGGGCAGGCGCTAAAAGCCGTTAGTGGGGGAAGTGGGATATCGTTAAACCAACTGGTTAACACTACTGTGGATAGACATATAATGTCATGTAAGAAACTAGCGAATACAACATTGTCAGACCCTGAGCATCCTCTCTATACGCAGCTGTCTCCTTGCATTTCATCTGGAAGAACTAGAAGCAGCTATAGGAGGCTATATGCTAGGACTACTAAGTACAAAAACTCCACAATACCATATCTGGCACAGCTGTTATGTGATGAGAAATCCGTTAGGTACTACATGGTTAACTTACTGCGGTACTCTAACAAATGGTCAGTCCTATTAGTTTTTGTTTTCCTTTCTTCGTTATTATTATATTGTTGTTCACATCTTCTATCACACATCAACTTTATATTTCATATCCTGTGGTGCATTGTTTTAAATGTAAATGCAACTCTGTTCTTTTTATTTCCTTTTTTATCTATTTTTGGTTTTTGCTTTTTGCTTTTAAAATCTTATAAAATTTATGAGGTAATTAGATGCAATATATTGTAATACACGCTGAAAATTCCATACCTGTACCTGTTTGGAATAAAGCTATTATTATTATTATTATTATCATTATAATAATTATTATATGGGAGTAGGAGTTAAACACTGGTTGAATATACTACTCAAATGAGTTTGTATCACCCAGTAGAACAGTTGTGGAGTGTGGAGTGTTTCAGACACTATTTATATCTCAATTTATTTTTTCATTCATTTACGTTCCCAGTGGAACATAGGGCTTCAAGTTACAGGCTTGAAGTTTTATTTGCAGTGATGTGTATTTTTAAGCGGTGGGGTCGCTAGCCCTTATGTCTCCTAATCTTCCCTCTTTACCAGTCTTATTACCGAGGTGAAGGAGTACATTAGTGCCCAGGAATCGAACCCCGAACCACATGCGTGATTGACGAGAATTCTACCGCTCTGCCACCAACCCATAATTTACTTTCATAGACCTTTTATTTCATATAGGCAGTATGCAATCTTTGAATACTTTAGTAACCTGGTGGTGAGAGTCGGCTGCAAGTCAGACTTGAAGACAACAATTTACGTCAATATTCACTTCCTGAATCAGGGTCATGAGAACAACAGTAACAAAGCCCAACCGTTAGGAACTCAACAACCAATCAAAACCCACTTTGCGTGTGCAAATACGATTCGCAGACATATGGCTTAACTTTCTAAGAAAAAGTCACGAGCAGTACAGAAAAACCTTGAGCAAGAAAACAACCATTCAGAAGATGTTGCTTCTCTACTTAGAATAATGTACATAACAATCTATAAATACCTCTTAATTTTTTCAGTAAACAATCTGTTGCCTGGCTCTTGTCCTCTGTCGTTACCATCTGACCTAAAGCATTGTAATGAAGAGGTTTATACTGGAGATAGAACAGTAACATTAAATTATATGAGGATATACTAGATGTAGAAGAATACAATGAATGAATACACCTACACCGTTGAGACGAACAATCCTGAACCATATCACTAACTGTCTCAAGCAGTGACCACCCCAACAAGGCTGTCTGCATCCTCTGTACATGGCTAGTTCACAACAATAGTCGAAGACTAGATGGATTGTTGCTATACTTTGATTTGATCATCCATAACTCTTTTCAACCTTATTGAATGCCAGCTTACATTGATTATAAACGAAGACGGTGGCTTGACACAGCATTATTATTACTATTATTGTCACCTTTAGTTCCTAGAGGAACATAAGGCTTCAGCCTCACGTCTCCGTTGCGTTCGGTTATCTGCCAATGTTTTCACCTGGCTCTATGTCCGCCAACATGCTGTCATCTCCTATGCACATGACCTCCTCCATGTGACTCTTGGATAACCAACTCGCCGCTTCTCTTTCAGGTTCCACTTGAGGGCTTGTCTAGTGATGTCAATCACTTGATGGTTTGTTTTCTCAGAGTATGGCCAATCCACCTATATCCATTTTTCCTGCATGTATAGTGCACAACTGGTTCCTGCTGGGTTGGTTCGTTCATTGCCAGAGATCCCTCCCTGGTGCTGATCTTTTGTGACCATCTAACTTTGAGCATTGAGCGAAGACAGCTGTTGATGAAGGTCTGTAGTTTATTCAGAGTGCCCTTATTGATGCGCCGTTAAGTCTGGGATCCGTATAGTGAGTAGCACTGACTGGATCTTATTTTTTAACGCTGAGTGCTGTTGACCTCCACACAGTCTTGAGAGAAATGAAAGCTTCTTTCCCGATCCTCTCTGCTTTGATATCCCCATCGGTTTCGCCCGCCATTAGTTGAACGATGCTTCCCAGGTAGGTCGGTAGGTAGAGAAGTTTGCTTCTTTCAGGTTCCTCCCACTTATGCTGGCTGATTGTCGGCTGTTGGTGTTGGCCAGGAATCTTCATCACCTCTGTTTTCTCTAGGTTCACGTAAACTCCTATCTTTGATACTTCTTCTGACAACTTGTTGCTTTTCACTTGCATATCTTCAAGTTTGTGGTAAATCAGACTTATGTCATCAGCAAAGTCCAGATACTCCAAGTATTTTGTGTTAGCCCATTTTATGCCTGTTTCCTTGCTGTCCGCTGTCTGTCTGACACAACCTTATCGATTAAATTTTACCCCTCGCCCCATCCCGATCCAACAATCTAAACCTAACCTCAATATTACTTATCATATTATATCACACTGACTACAGGAGATAAAATGTAAAGACCCGTGATCTGGTCTGTTAATATCAATCACTTTCAATCGTGAACTGCCGCACAGTACTCACATCTTTTGATCGATATCTGGCTAAGTTTAAGAATATATTCTAATGTGTGCTTTTTTTTCTTTGTTCAACATTCCAGGCTAAAGTCATCGGTATTCGATTTCGCTATAGCTTGTGTTGTCGCTAGTTATCTTGGTCTTGTATATTTACTTTTGGAGGTAAGAGTGCAGATGTTCTTTTTTGCTATTGTCATTGTCGTTGTTAAAGATAAGCAATTTTTATTTTATCATTTCATAGGTGTATACTAAATGCTGTCTCAGTTTGTCTACTTACTATCTCTGACTGAATTTTCGCTGTACACCGTGATGGCGAGCCACTTAACATCGTCGCCATATTGCAAAGTTGACGGATAAAATTCAGTCTGCAGTAAAAACAAACAACCCAAGAACTAGTCGTATGAAATTAGTCAGTACCTAATCTGGAATCAAAGTGTTTTTTTACAGTCTTACTTGGAGGTCAGTTGCGTCGGTGGCGCAGTGGTTAGGACGCTCGCCAACCATCCAAATGGTCCAGGGTTCCTTCCTTGGCCACCGACGCACTCCTATACCTCGCTAAGCCAGTAATATGACTGGTAAAGCGGGAAGGTTGGGCATGAAGCCGGCAGCAACCCCATCCTGTAAAAATAATCACCACTGCTACCGAAACTTCAAGCCTCTAGCTTGAAGCCCTATGTTCCACTGAAAACGTGAAGGAATAAGAAGACAGGAGGTCAGTCGCGAGCCCGAATAGCTAGCTCAGTGGTTATCTCTCTGACTGCAGGATTCGGTAATTCTGAGTTTGAATCCCAGAAGAGCGATACGAGTGTCCCTCCGAGATTGTATAAGCGCCTTGCTGACTGAAGAGTGTGACCAGGCGCGAAACTGCGGCGAGACAAGGCTTCCTTCCGATTATCTTCAACCATCCGAGAATTCCAGAACTTATTAATGTTGTTCTGCCTAAGTTATGGCACTGGTTGTGTATACACATAAAATAGGAAATATTATTGTGATTAGAAAATAGACAACAATAAAAAATTTGGTGTCAGTCAATTCTGGGCTATTATAATTATAAGTAATTATACATCACTGTAATAGAACAGCCTCAGGATGGTCGGGGCGGGTGCCTTGCGCTGCGGGCTGGCCACCCCTCCGTACACCTCTTGAAATGCTCCCATATGACCGGGCGTCTCACATAGCCTCTCCTGAGGAATTCCTACTCACTGCCTTCACGTGGCGGAGGTGTTTTCACCGAAGTGAGAGGGCGAAAGCGGATGCCCGGCGCTCTTCACCGGGTTGACTGTCCATTGGATGACAGTCTAGGGGAGATGGCTAAACCCTGATTCCAAACCTCAACGACTGGCGTATGAAGCTCACCGGAGCTCACCGGTAGGCAGACGTATGGACAAAGGGCTTGTTGGATGCCCTGGATGTCTGACCCCATTCAAAAGGCGTATGAATCGGACTCTGGTCACCGGGTGCCAATGGATAGTGGACTCCCTACTCCACTCCTACTGCCTTGTAGGTCACACTTGGTTGTGTAAAGGCTAGAGCTGCACTCTCAAACAAAGGCCGAGCGATGCTGGGTACATCACTCGTACCTAATTCCCATGAAACTTCATGAACTCTCTACAACATCAACCAAATTCCAGTACTGGTCCAACAACATCGCCTTCGGTGGTTTGGCCATGTTCTGCGCCGACCAGATGATGATCTGGTCAAATCAGTTCTAAATCCCTCGCTATTTCCATCTTGGCGAAGTCGCAGGGGTGGACAGCTGAAAACATGGCTTGGTACAGTCAAGGCTGATATGGAGTGCCTAGGGCTACAAACCGTCTACGGACTCCGTCTGTGGAACAAGAATTGGATAACCCTGTCGCAAAACCTTGCATCAGATCGCCGCACCTGGGCAGCGATGATTCGAGATGTTCATGAAGCCGGCTCGTCCACCTATAGGAGATAGCCGAAGTAAATCCATCAAAATCTAATCTAAGTGAATGAATTCATTGCAAAAAACAAACGGAGACTCTTCGTTGAATTGTTCGTTCCTACTTCTTTCTTCTCTTTTCCATCTCATGAAAACTGACTGTCTGTACATATTAACATACACTAAAGACGTGGTTGGTTCGGTTTGAACACATGTCTTCCTGACTAAAGCTAGTATCAGGATTCGTTGTTAGTGAGATGACTGTAATGCTACCCGGGCGCCCAGACCGAAGCAAGTGATTGTTTTAAGGGACTACGCTCTCCCCACCTTCACTGAACCTTCGATTCGAGGCCTCATTCACAAGACACCGAAGCAGTTCCACCCAGTTTGGCTTGTTCGTTCATTGAGGTATGCAAGCTCGACCACCCTGCCAGGTAGAAGTCTTCGGCTGAGAAGGGCAGTACTATCACAATCCATCTAGTACAAACTGGACAGTTCTAGGAAGAGGTGAAATAAATTGGGTCCCTCTCGAATGGAAATTTCTTTTGTTTTTCCAATCTTACAGCATTTAATGTTTGTCAGTGAGGTCCATCCAAATGTCAAGTGTGAGGATGAATGTCCCACCGACGACATTGGTTGGAGTCGCGTTAAATCACGTATTGGTAGAAGTTAGAATTCATGGGCTGGCCATTGAGTCAGGTCCCAGTGGCTGAGTGGTCCACGAGCTCATTATCCTTATAACTAAAAGGTCCTGGGTTCGAACCCTGGCGATGGGTGCGTACTACCGATGATTCCCAAAACTAGGCTGGCGAAACAGGTGTCCAGCACTTCACTGATGGTTTCTCAATGGTTCTCTAACTGTGATGTCGATCCGTGGTCAAAACTCGTAAAAACAAAACAAATTTATCCCCTATTAAGTTTGTCTATTAGATGTTTCACATAGTGAAACAGTATCATTTACCGGATGACGTTTCGAACAAAATTTATTTAGTGTTCATAATCATTTCATCAATTATATTCACACGACTTCGAAACTTGAGTTTTATAGTTCTCTTTGTTCTCTCCTATTTGTCATCGTTAGGGTAGTAGAATTTTCCAGATATCTGGGTGAACAGGTGTTAAATCATTCCTATTACACGTATTCACTCTCAGTTGATTCGATAAACAAAGCTTCCGTTGACATCAATCTCTCCCTCCACACTGTGACATTAGATTAGATATTAAAACTGTCATCTTATCCCCTCCATCCTATGCTGTATGGTTGTGTGTAATTGCATGTAGTGAGTGTTATCTATGGCTGAACAATTCTCTAGATTTCTCATCTTATTCAGGTCAACTAATCTAGATTTTGCTGCTAGGTTTTTATGCTCCACTAGTCTGACCTATGTATTTGATCTGACAACCATTGTAGACAGGGTATTAGATAAACTGAATTGTTTTGTTTTAAAGGCTCCCCCTGACAGGATCCTTTAACCGACAAAGCTTGTTTCTAATTGAGTTTGTGGTTGGTTTGAATGCCAACCACTTTTATTCCTGCCTTGTGCTAGAATTCACCGCCGTAAGGTTTCTGAGGTTCCTTCGCTGTATGGAATTACTACCTACTGTGATGATTTAGATTCCTTATTGTTGGTGTTGTCATTATCTGACGTTTGACGTGCATATCGTCAATAATATTAATATATGTGTAAAACTTGGGCACTGTGGTATTACGTAATTCCATATTAGTTTGATTATTAAATGTATCACACAGTGAAACAGTATTGTATACTGGATGACGTTTCGAACACAATTTATTGTTCATAATCATATCAATTTTTGTCACACGACTTCGAGATTTGATTTTTATAGTTTTCTCTGTCTTCTCCTATTTGTTGTATGGGCAGTAGAATTTTCCATATATCTGGGACAGGTGTTGAATCATTCCTATTACATGTATTTGCAGTTGATTCGATAAACAAAGCTTCTGTTATCAATCTCTCCCTATACCCTGTGACATTAGATTTTAAAACTGTCATCCTATCCCATCCTATTGTATGGTTGTGTGTAACTGCATGTAGTGCTATAGCTGAACTACTCTCTAGATTTCTTATCTTATTCGGGTCAACCAATCTAGATTTAGCTAGGTTTTTATGTTCGGCTAGTCTGACTGCCCCTGTTCTACTAGTTTGACCTATGTATTTGACCTCACAATCATTGCAGGGTATTAGATAAACTAAATTGTTTTGTTTTAATGGCTCTACAGGATCCTTTAACCGACAAAGCTTGTTTCTAATTGAGTTTGTGGGTTTGAATGCCACTTTTATTCCTGCCTTGTTAAGAATTCTGCGTAAGGCTTCCGAGGTTCCTTCTTTGTATGGAATTATTGTTGATGATTTACATTCCTTATTGTTGGTGTCGTTATTAATATTATTATTATTATTACTATTATTATTACCATTATTATTATTGTTATTATTATTATTGTTATCATTATTATTATTATCACTATCTCTGTTATCATTATTTATTTTATTTTTACATTTACTTACATATTTCTTGACTAATTTATCCGGGTAATTATTAAGTTTCAAGGCTTCTTTTATGTGTGTCACTTCCTGTCTTAGATTTTCCTTGGTACTACTTAGTTTTTGTGCTCTGTCATTTAAACATTTCACTAATCCTATTTTTACTGACATAGGATGGGATGATCGGAAATCCAAATATCTGTTTGAATGTGTGGGTTTTCTGTAAACACTAGTGTTTAGCTTCCCATCTTCTTTCCTTTTAACGTTGCAATCTAACATTGGAAGTTCCCCTTCCTGACTTTCCAATTCATAAGTGAATTGAATTGCCTCTACCTTCGAGTTGATGTGCTCGAAAAATCTATCTATATCTTGTGTTCTAAGTACAGTGAATGTGTCATCTACATACCTCCACCATACTTTTGGGGTGGGGGTGAACGTTTCAATCGCTATCTTTTCCCACCTATCCATGAATATATCTGCTACCACCGGGGATATTGGTGATCCCATGGCAACTCCCTCAGTTTGTTTGTATATTTTCCCTTGGAATTTAAATACTGTAGAAGTCAGGCAAAGCTGTACTCCCAGCATTATGTCCTCAATTGGCACTTTTGTCCTAAGTTCGAGTTCGAGTCAATAATATTACTGTTATTATTATTATTATTATTAGCGATAGTTAAAACAATTTTATCTCTTTATTATTTTCAAATTTATTTTCATATCCTTTCAGCATTTTCATCTAGTCTTGAATTTGTTCAAATTCAACAAAATTGTCAAGTCAAAATCACAATAAAGCCCAATGCCGTCGATGGCGCAGCACCTTGACGTTGTTGATAGGTGTGTGTGTGTGTGTGTGTGTGTGTGGAGCAGCACTTATTATTATTATTATTATTGATTAGTAGTGCAATGATTTCTTTTATCTCTCGAAAATGCAAAGGCAACACGGATCTTCGTTCATTTTATACTTCTAGTTATTTGTGTGAATAATTTCTTCAGTTATTTCTTCGTTTCTTTATTTTCTTGTCTTTATACGTATAAATATGATTTCATTACTATCACACCAACTATGTTTGTTTGTATACATAATTTTCTTTAATGTATAATGAGCTATAGTCAAGTGGATTTGTCCCATATTGTATTTTGAAACCCATACCCTACATTATTACTCTTTACTTGTTGGCAAGCATTTCAAGTGCTATAGCAAACTTTACGTGTTTTAATTTGTTGTATTATTTGTAATGAGAATATAAACTTCATAATATTATGTATTGGTGTCTCCATTTCTTATTTTTTAACTTTGCATCAATGACATTCTGGAGTCCAGTCAGCTCTGAAGGATGTGCGTAAAGGTGGTGTAGATATCGAGTATACAGACGATATCGTCTTAATGTGTGCGGTAGCACGCAGGCTGTTCAAATCGCTCTTAATCAGTTGGTGATCAGTGTCTGTAAGTATAGTATGTGTTATGCGCCGTCTGAGGTTGGCAGGAGCGCCTGTACCTGCACTCACTTTTGCAGGTGAATCACTTGAAGTTGTTGATAAGTTTGTGTATCTGGGTAGTTGTGTGCGAGTGCTGGCGGAGGGGTGACAGATGAGATTTCCAACCGTATCCTGAAGGTTAGGGTGGTATACATCAACTTGAGCTGCCACCTCTGGCGCCGTTAGCCTAGCTATCAAAGGTCGAGTATACGACTGCTAATTTTGTATATTATATTTCCACATTTTACTGACTGTCAATGGCACATATGGCTTAGCATTTCTCACCTTTGTTATGGCTATAAGGTCAATTATTTCAAATGCTGTTAGTGTCCATATTGTTGTAAATGTATAAATACCAGGCTTTCTTCGTGTTGCACTCAATACACAGTCACAGTCCACCTTTGTCTTTTGATATTTGCGTGCTAATCCTTCGATGTCGGCTGTTTTCCTCTACGCCTGTGAAACCTGGCATCTTCGAGCTGAGGATGTGGGGTGGCTGTGTGTGTTGGATCATCGCTGTCTCCGCAGGATTGCTTGCGTTCGATGGCATCATCGCGTGATTAGTTCTGAGGTTCGACGGTGTTTGTGTTTGAACACAGTGCAGATCACCATTCATTGAGTGTCGTCATCTGAAACACCGGCTCCGGTGGCTTGGACATGTGGTGCGAATGTCATCCCAGAGGCTTCCGTACAGGTCTCTGTTCGCTAGTCAGCCCTGGACAGGAAGCTAAAGGCGGAGGCGTGGGTGGTCAGTCTATGATGTGGCGTCGTGGGATGAAGGATTTTTATGGTAGATTAGCATCGGTTGGTGTGTCACGACTTCCTGGTTGCGAAACGTTATCGGATATGGCCAAAAATTCGTAAACAATGGCGAACGTGTTGCAATTTCCTTACCTGATGATAATTAACGAATACTGTTTGAACTTGGTAGGTATGACTATTTTCCTTCCAGATGAAGTTCTCTATCCATTCTCTACGTATATTTTTACTTTTAATCTATATTGTTTTATTAGTGTTGTGTGGCGCATCTTTCTTGGTGCCATATTGTACCAAGTTTTTTTCTGCGTTGAAATAAAAACGTACTGGTGTTATTTATTATTCCCTTTGTGTTGCGAGTGAAACATCAGGCTTTACAGCAGCAACACATCGCCATTTCACTATGTTCTATAATAGTAGTCTGGAACAGCTGGCTCCACGATTGCTAACAGACTGTCATTTCCTCCTGACACGATGATCTCTTACATGTGTCATCCTCGGTCCCATGGACAACTCCCCTGGTTATCTGGTGCATGCTGATACTCCTCAGTGTAGATCATAATTCATCTTCATCTCTGCCTGCTTATTTTTTTGTGGTAGTCGATTGTTAGTTGGTTCGTTGTCCGCCAGGATTCTTGTCACTTTATCCTTTTTGGTCGGCCATCTGATCACCGGTATATTATTATTCAATATATAATTTGTTTGCTGATGAACGAGCAGAAGTACTGTGACACTTTTGTAGTGTGTAACCTGTTCATGCACACAAATAGAACCTAATATTTAGGTGACAATACCTCTATTTAGGTTACCGCTGGTTGCTCTTATACTACAACCAACAAACTAGTAGATGAGGATGGTAGCGAAGACAGGACTCCAATCGAAGATAGAGAAGACAGAAGTGATGAAGAAAACTAACGGACCGCAACAACAACAACAGCAACCAGCGTCAATCAACATCAACACGTGGGATTTGGCAGAGGTTACCTCCTGGCCTCACTTATCTGGGAAGCATCGGTTCAACTATATAAGCCAGCGGAACTGGCTTTAGCCAGTCAGAATCGTAAATACAAAATACACCTTCATCAACCTGAAACCAGTTAGGAAATCTTCTACTGTCAAACAGCCAGCACAAATAACTAGATTCGCATTTTCAACATAAATGCGAAGACTATCAGTTCTTCTATACGGGTTAGAAACTTGTAGTGCATGTCATAAAGAGGATTACCAACAGGTCGCAGACTTTCATCAATCACTGCCCGCTTCGCTGGGTCCATATTGAAGATCAAAGTGGCCAGCCAGAAAGAATTAGCAACAAGAAACTCTGTCTGGGAACAAACCAACCAAGTAAGAGCCGATTGCTCAACAAATATGTAGGAGAAAATGGAGATGAATAAGGAGGGCATGCATTGAGGAAGAGGCCTTCGAGTGACATCGCGCTCCAGGACCTGGAGTGGAATCTAGATGGGAATCGACGAGTGGGTCGTTGGTGCTAAGTTGACATGACATAGGTGCCTGCGCTCTATTTCCCGTGTAAAGTGGCATATTAAGATGAGCAACATTGAGGTTAGGCGTCGAGTTCTAGGTAAACAGGGGAAATCAATCGACGAAGTCGTGAAGTTACAAAGACTGAGATGGTTAGGACATGTGTTACGTATGCCAAGCCATCGCCTCCCTCGACGAGCAATGTCAGCGGATATAGGGTCAGGCTGGAAAAGGAAGCTAGCGGCGGTCAAACAAAAACTTGGCCTCACCAGTCAATGAAATCCACAACATTTAGTTTAAGCCAGCCACGTAGGAAGGTGTAGACTTCCAGGCTGGGGTCCTCGGGACGGTAAAAATCTATGGTTGGAAACAATTGGTGACATGGCTCAAAATCGTTCTTAATGGCTGACTGGCGCAGATGCATCCACTCCTTGTGACTTATGATCTTCAATGAAACTGTTTTGTTCTTCGTTATTACTCCTTTGTCTCACACCTCTGCTCACTGTCTCTATTATGCATTTCTTCTACTTTCTCCTCTTGCTTCGCGTGCTACACGGAGTGTGGCGACTTGAACTGGCGAACATTTGTGCAAAGTTCTATGTCGAAAACAGACAGACAGACAGGTTGACATGGAGAAGATCGTGTGAGGAAGAGATGAGGGAGTTTGGTCAGTCGTGGACCCAGCTGATGAGGATGGCAGAAAATAGAATAACGTGGAGATGTGTTGTTGAGGCCTTTCGTTCCATTCGGAACCAAAGGGAACAAGAGTAAGTATCATATAATTTTATACCTGACTGCTAAATCAATCATGTCAGTCCAGTAGCTTCACTTGAACAGCTGGCTTGTAAAATTAGTTTCTGTCTTACAAGTGAACAATGTCGAAATCTACGGTCTTATTGCTTAATATATATATATATATATATATATATATATATATATATATATATATATATATTAACAATATTGGTGTCTTTAAATACTCCCGATCTGTTAAGTAAGATCAATGGAACTACCACAGTCCAAGAAGCATATAAATGTAATAGCAAACAGAATATTAAATAAAACTAAAGAATTCCAAATGAACTGTCGTCAAGATTTGACAGAATTACTCATTTCAATCTCGCTGAGATTTTACAAATATAATTCTTTTTTACAAATGTCTACTTCTCACTCGGCGCCCAATTATATTTTAGAACTATTCTGTCAAATCTTGACGACAGACAGTTCATTTGATGAATTATTTTGCAATGGAATTAAATTAACAAAGAAACTATGCTAATTGGCACAATCATTGTGTTTTCATTCTCTGTTGTCTGTAACAGAATAATGCATATCCTAAATCCATAGCTGTCGAGTCACCTGACAACTCCAGTAGGTCGAATAAATCAGCTCAATTTTCAGAAAGAAGATAAAGTAATAAGTTTGACGGGGTGTATTTCAACTAAACTCTAATCCTAGACACCATAATTTTGGAAATACGTCTAATCCTAAAATTCTAGATGCTAACAGGTTGAACAAACATGGAGGTGTGATGTTAAATGACGCATAGGAAATCCTGATTAATAAATAAGAATGGATATGTATGACTAATTAATAATACTTGGTCAAAATTCCTGACTGTCTAGATCTCCTTATAGAGACGTTAAGATATTGGTTTACAACTGTTTATCCGCACACACACACACATACACACTGTGTTTAAAGTGTTTAACAAAGGTAGATCAATATTTGTAAGTCTTAGGTCAAATTTTGATCACAACTCATACAATTTTGTTTATTATACTTGTTGATACCTGTTTCATGACTGATATGACTGGACAAAGAAATTAGAAACAAGAGATGTTCCTTTTCTGCATATAAACCTCTGTCATGTTAATTTCGATTAATTTCCCCGAAGAAGTTCGGACGAGATTTCCGAATGTAGGAAACGTTGGAATAACTCATTTCAATTTCGCTGAGATTTTACAAATATAATTTTTTACAAAAAAAACTAGGAAATTTCCACAAAAATTAAGGATCATTAAAACCTTGATGACGAGCGGGATAAGAAGGAGTGTCTGAACCAATTTTTTCTTTTGGATGTAAAAGTTAGGTTTCTTAATGTGGATCCCAACAGCCTTTCTCAGCAATATGTAGTAGATGAATCCTTAAAGTAAAGTTAAGATTAGTTGGTATGCCGTTGATAACTTCGGAAGCTCCTTTGTTGAAATCAAACTTGTTTTCTGTATTCACGAGATAAGATAGAATAGAATGGTGAGGTTAAAGTATCATAGCGAAAGTCAAAAGTTGACCTTCGAGAATCAACCAGATATAGGGAATACTTTGAAAGGTCATTCCAAGTCGAGTCATGCCTGCCTCTTTAGACTTTGAGAAGGTAGATACAGTATTCTACTTACTTATTCCTTGGGTACTTTTCTGTAAATGTTTCCTGTTAGGTAGGGAGGGTTATGGCTTTTAAGATTAAGGTTCATAGTTTAGGGTTAGGATTATGGTTAAAGAACAGTGTCAGAAATATCAATGGATATCAAAGTACCATGATCTGCAGTCACCTGAATGAATGCAT